CGCAATTGGCCCGCGGGCCGGTACTTTGAGACCATGTGCTGTAACTCCTCCCTGATTTGCAAAAAAAGTAAGCATTACTCCATTCCGAAATAGATGAGAGAGGGATTTGACTCTCTTTGAGGACCAACACGGCAGCTGAAGGCAGGCGCTGCAGCTCCAGGAAGGAAGGATTACCCCCAGAGAGGTGAGTAGGACCAAACATCTACAGACAGGCAACTAATGACATATTTAACCAGTTGACATCCGCGATGTTAAACCCCCTTCCCATCCAGGCCATTTTTCAGTATTCAGCGCTGCGGTACTTTGACTGACATTTATTCCGTCATGCAGCGCTGTACTGAAATGAATTTTATACCATTTTTTTAGGGACAGATAGAGCTTTCTTTTGGTGGTGTTTATTCACCACTGGGTTTTTGTTTTTTTACTATATTAAGGAGAAAATAGCGAAATAAAAAAAAAAACTCTGTCACCTGTGGACCCCAAAAGAAGCTGATGAAGCAGATATCTGCTTCATCAGCTTCTTTTCTCTGGCTATAGCAGCCAGATGACTGACAGGTGAATGCGGAAGTGATGTAATACGAGCACATATAGACGATCGGCAGGCTATAGAGCCGCCAATCGTCTATATGTGAAACACCCGGCAACAGGTGTTTGCATAGGTCGGGTCTTCTCTGCCCGTGCGCGCCCGCGAGCAGAAAAAAATGCTGCCTGGAGACGGCAACCCGCCAATGCTGCAGTGCCGTCCGTCCATTTTTTTACAACGGGCGGACGGCAACTGGTTAAGTATATGAAGTGTCCCAGAAAGAAGGGCAGTACCCGAATTTAAGCCTGAATCCCCATTATAAATAACATTTTGAAGAGATTTAGTATGGCAGCCAAATAATAAACATGGAAATTGTGGAAGGCCAAACCTGCAAGAGAACACGGAAGCTGCAATACCTCCAGAGACACATGAGGAGTACGTTCCTGCCATAGAAATGTAATACTGATGGAATCTATTTTACGAAAATATCTTAGTGGAATGTAACAGAGTTAGTCATAATATATCAAAGTTTAGGCAAAAAAATCATCTTAATATGGACCCTTCCGATAAGATCTTAAGGGTCCATTCACACCAGATGCAGTCCGTTCCGTTTTTGAGCTGCATCAAAAACGCAGCACAATCATTTCCTATGGGTTTCTGGTGTTCCATTTACACCAGCCTAGTCTGTTCCGATGCAGCCAGTAAAAATATTGCTTGCACTATTTCAGCTGCATCGGATAGCGACAGAACGCATCAAAACACATAAAGGCATGCAAATGCGACAGAGCCCAACTGAAATTCCATTTTAAGCAAAAACAAATCCCCCCCCCCCCCAAAAAAAAACAACAACCGACAAACGCATCAATCGCGGTACTCCTTTACCTTGTGTCTGCAGTGCCATTGATATGAATGGCACCGACATGCCCCCTCCACCCCCAGAACTTGGCTTCATGTATGCAATCCAGTGTCTTCCGGGCACTGGGTAAGTATGGAGCATGGACTAGCCACAAAGTTGGGGAGGTCATGACATTAGTAACAAAGTTAAACAGTGATCACAAAGGAGCACAGAAGAGGTAAACATGAATAGGCATCTTGTAGTTTCTAGTGGCTAACAGATTCATGTTAATTATTTCTCTGTTCAAATGCGTGGATAGAAATTTCCAATGAAGGAAGCTTAGAGCGTGCATAAAGCATATGTAGTATATAATTTATGTAATGTAAGTTACAGGCCTTAAATGCACTATTTTAAATGAATTCCATTGTTCTAGGATTATACAATATGTAAAGTGCATATCCAGCCTTTTTTGTTTTTATTAAAAAATTATTTTTTTTTAATATTGTGAGGATTGGTTACAACCTCTGCCAGGCTTTTTATTGTTGTCCGGGTCTCCATTGAGGAAATTCCTCTAGTTTCCTGTCCCCGTGACAACAGTGTCACTAGCGCTTCAGCTTTTTATTGCAGTCTATGTGACCATTTTGAGATATTTGAGATATTCCTTGGTATCTTGATGACAAAGTTGTCATCACAATAGGAAGTAAGAACAAATCTCCCAAGTGATGACTCAGGCAGCAATAAAAACCTTTCAGACGTCCTAACCTATACCGCCGCTTTCTAGTGCATCAAAATAAAGGTTTGGCCCGAATTGCTTTTAGAAAAGTTTACATGAGTCACAGTTAAAAAGTTCACATATAGTAACCTATAGCCAACCATAAAATATCCCCTGTGTTGTGAATACTCAAAAAGCTATAATATGTTTGCTAGAAGATATTGCAATTCATTGCTCTTTTAATATACTCAAGTTCCACAATGCCCATGAAAAATGTTCTTTGTATTACAATGTTTTTTTTGATCAAGTTGTATAATTTTATGCAGATGAAGAAGACATTGACTCCAGCTGTCCAGGGACCACTTCCGAAGATCATGACTGAGAACGGTTGCTACTAAGGCAACAAAGTTTTGTATGGAGTTGGACTTGAATACAGGGTGGAGGAACATTGCACAAAAATGTAGATAGAGCTGCTTTACAGATTTAAATGAAATATTGGGGATTCCTCACAGACCCATAAACAAGTCTAAAAAATGTATTTGTATAAATGTGTCAGGGTTTTTTGTTTTAACTTCCTTTTTTAAGTGTATGTAGAACCAACACTTTTTTTTGTTAGCTTTGTAGAGTGTGGAAGGGAAGGGCTAGAACCCCTGTCAGATATATATTGCTATCTGCAGTCTCTCTTCTACTGGGACCTCTTCCACCAAAGTTAGAAAATAATGTTAAATCGAAAACCTTTCAGTTGTCACCTAACCAAGGAGTATGGGTAGGTCCAGTCAGGATACTTGTTTGACGTTGGGATATTTTCTCTAACTTCCTGTTGTTGAAGGGGAATCTTCCCAATGGCACACAGGCAACAAAAACAAACAACCTGACAAAACAAAGCCTCGCATTGCGGCCGCCTCCTCGTGCCCCCTTTTGTGGGGCACGAGGGGGCGTGACGGGCCATTGAAGGTAATGGCACCATAGCCACGCCCTCCGGCCGCAATGCTTTTGGCCGCACAGGATCGCAAGGCACATTATACCTGCAGTCCGGTGCTGCAAGCACTATTTTGATCGCACCGGACTAGACCGCAGGCATAATGTGCCTTGCGATCCCTTGCGGCTGGAGGGCGTGACTACGGTGCCATTCACTTCAATGGCCCTCCGGCCCCACAAAAGTGAGCCAGCCGCAATGCGATACAGTGCGTTCTGGCCAGAATCGGGCTGGAACGTACTGCATCTGGTGTGAACAGGCCCTGTAAAATGACATTAGTATTTTTAACTGCAATTTTGGAGCTGCTCCTGATCCTAACCAATAATGGCCAAGACTGGTTTAGTTCATTGTCAGGCTATGAGCCTGATAAGATAAGTATTGATGCAGTAGCTCAGGTGATACTTTAGTTATAGGGGCTATCAAGGTTACAAGGGTTTAAGAGATTTAGGCTTAGGGGCATGAATTAATGGATGTTATCTGGGTTATAAATCTAGATTAATTTTAAGGATTTGATTACATTTGAACTGGTTGGCAATTAGTTTGCTTAAGCTGTTTGTCATAAACAATTGACATTTTTTTTTCTTTTAGAAAATACTAATTTCACCTGTTATACTTTTTTTTTTTTGCTTCTCGTTGCTGCTGACCTAGTCCAGCCTTTTTGCAGCCACTTCCTGTTTACATTCATATGTTGCAGGAGTGGCTGCATGTTATTACTCAAGACTGATATCCTCATAGTGAAAATGGCCGGTCATGCCTGTGCAAGGAGCATCAGTACAACCACTTATAATCTCTGCTGGAAGTACATGTGCAAAGGTGACAAGGCAAGAGAGCAATTGCCACCCGGACAGAGCTTAGTTACAGTGTTGGGTGGCAAGTTGTCTAAAGTAGTATTTAAAGCTAAAACCTTTTTCAATAATAATTCCAGATCACACATTGCCCAACAAAATACTTCTTTACATTTTTGCCCAAACACTTACATTCAACATGTTTCTGAACAGCTGACTCCAACTCTCTCAGCTCTGCTTTATTGAACTACCTGTCAAGTACAAGTTCAAAAGAGACAGACAGCTGCTGGAGATTACTCCATCTACTATCTTGGAGAAGGGAGTAGCGGGAAGCAGGGAGCAAGGAGTTACTTCCTTTGCAATGCCTGTTTGTTTATGGAGATGGACAGCTTACGAGCACGCCCAAAGGTGGCTCCATAAGACCCTGCATGGCAAAGGAGCCATCTTAAAAGAGAATATCAGGTCCATTGTTCAGAGGACCAACTGATTCTGTAGAAAACTAAAAATTTTAATCTTCAAGGACCGGCAAGTAATTTATTCAGTATTTGAAATAGCAAAAACTTTTTGACTTTAATATCACTTTAAGGTGGGGTAAGGGACAGACTAAGTGTAACGATGACATGAAGGCAGCCATAGGTGGTAATGGGGAACTTTAAAGTACTGTTGGAACTGAAAATACTGCATCAAACTGTCTTGTGGTGGGCTTTACAAATACGTGTAGAGTTTCCATGCTGCTGAAGTAGGTAGGTAACGCAAGGTGCTGTCAGGAGCCTTGCAGTACTGTAGAATCTGTCCCTGTGCCAGAAGCCTGCTTAATTCCAGGCATGCACTAAATAGAAAAGCATCACTATCAGAACCTCCAGTTGTTAGTTGAGGCTCTGGTAGTGGATGGTAGAGAGGGTCGGGCAAAGCTCTAAGTTGAGGCCTTGATTCAAGAATCATCAAAGATTAGAAGGGCTCCACAAATTTCACAATTTCATTTTATAAACCTTGCAAACTGATTTTCTCATTACGGCATTTTGTGGCTGGCTTTTTTTTTTATGTTAAGGAGAAAACATAGTAAAAGTTATACTGTCTGACATCTTTGTATGTGTATTATTTAGACTGTGAAAATATATGCTTTAAAAAGGTCACCTTTGCTTCCAGTGTTTTATTTTTTTCTTTTCTTTCATTTGTATCAAATGTTAGTTTCTGATGCCAATGAGGGGGATGTCACGGCGCTCTTTTATATCTTGATTATCTATTTCTCAAGATATCACTTTTTAATAGGCTAATTTTGTACCTAATCTTGCCAACCAAGGAAGTGAACCAAACTGAAATATGTGTCATCTCGCTACGGTGCCTCTGTAATTTGTAGTCATATTCAAATGTATGGAACCCCCCAAATGTATTGGGAGTAAGCTTGCTTGGGAACATTACCACAGAAGACAAGACATCCTGAGTTGCTCGAGGAAGATAAATATCTTAGTTATGAAATAAAATATCAAAAAATTTAAAAACCTATTCTAGGCTGATTTATTGTTGGTTCTGGTCACTGCGTCAAATGACTGGTTGCTGGGGAAACTTTGTATTCAATTGCTTTAATGTTTTCCCCCCTTATGCACCTTTTTATTATCTGTGTGTGCCTTAACCTTCCTGGCGGTATTCCCGAGTGTGGCTCGGGGTTAATTTTCTGTCCCATAAGCGGTACCCCCGAGCCACAGTCGGGAATACAGCGTAGCGTCTCTTACCTTGTCCCTCGAGCCGCGCTGTCTTCCTCTGGCCGATGCCGGCATCTGTCTTCCGGGTTCTGTCCCTCGCGTCGCAGGGGGGGGGGGAAACAGTGGGATTTTTGAAAGTTAAAAAATAGAACGAAAAAAGGAAAGAACAAAATAATCGGACCGCCAGGGAAGTTAAAGAATGATGCGGGTACCCCCAGAAAAGCTAGCATTCCGTTTATCCATTGCATTATAGTGTGTATTACATTGTGTGTCTGCATACTCCCAAAGATTGCAGCACGGCCATACTAAAACAGACTCCTTGGTGAGATGGTGAGGATTCATCTATACAGTATGTGCAGAATAGAATTTGGAAGTGTATAACAATGCAAAACGATCCGAGAGGCACACAAATATTATTCAGGCTGATAATCTGCTAAAGTCTGCAAATTAAGGAATGTCTAAAAAAAAAAAATTATGGTGGGGATTGATTTACTGGTTGTCCAGAATACAGGTTACTGTTGGGATTATCGATGTTAGCCATAATTGGTCTATCTTCACACACTCTTGTGGATTTATAGAAAATCATAAAACATGTGCTGTGCAGAAAAATGCCAGAAAAAGAAACTTTGGCATGCGTGATGATTCCATTTGATTTAGAGACAAGTAACATACCGTGCAATTTAGCTTCAAAAGTTTACATCTAACCATGTTCGTATAGTTTCTGCCAAAGAATTAGAGGTACCCTGTAAAACAATCATCCACCTTATAATTATATCTGTGATTTTGAAAATCCACCAAAATTTGGACCTAAAGATATTAAACTATGCAAGGTCTGGGTGTCCGCTTAAGAGATATTCCATATCTTGTTTGCAGAATCTCTTTTGTAGCATTCAGTTCTTATTGTGTTTGTCTAAGCCAAAAAATGTTTTGTTTTGGGAAAAGTGGTGAGGGGTTAGACTCCCTGTCAGGGTTTTATAGCTGTCTGCATTCCCCTTTGTGAAGATTCACCCTCTCTATTTGTCCTCGTGTCCATTGTTAACAGGACTGACAATGAAGGGAGGTTACTAGAACAGGGATAGAAGAGAGCTTTTCTAATGGTGACACTTGTTGCGGTATCAATTGTCTAAGCGGGCATTTCCCGCACTTTGAAGAGATTTCGTCTCACTTCCTAATGGGAATAAGGGCAAAAAAAACAAAAACTGACAAGTGTTTGAACCATTCCCTTGTCTGTCCACAATGCAAACAAGTTTTGCCCTTTTTAGATATACTGTATTTTTCCGTGTATAAGACTATACTTTTTCATTAAAATATTTACCTAAAAATGGAGGGGCGTCTTATACACGGGGGGCCGAGAGGAGAACCGCGGTTGCGAAACTGCCGATACCTCTGCAAACTAGCCTCACGAGTGAAACTTCCGATTGCAGAGACAAGGTAACAGGTTTCCTCCAATCATGAGCCTTATGTACCCGACGTCAGCTGAGGCTGCAGAGAGCCTGTAGCCAGTGCCTAGATGCAACAGGGAGCGGTAATGTCAAAGCATTCTGAGCCCATAAAATGTCAGAAAACAAAAAAAATCCCGGTAAATACCAATACCAGGAAGCGGCTGTCTTACTCTGCAAAACTGGATGTAATCAGTTATGCATAGGAGCAAGGAAAATATTGATTTCTGAATTTTGGGTAAGAAAAGTGGAGGGCGTTCTATACATGGGGGCGTCTTATAGACGGAAAAATACGGTACTTAAATCTGTAACCACCTCTTTCCTTTTCTAGCTCTCCATTTCTTTTGATTTTTAATGTGCCTTTCTTAGAAGACTCCACCATCGCTAAGACATTGACAGGATTTACAATTTACCATTGGATGCAGGCATTGTTCAGGTAATTTCAGAGCCAGCGGGACCGACTAGCAAGATACTGAAGCTTG